GAGTTTGGTTGACATAGCTGTAGCAGTTTCCGAGATATGTACAAAAAACTTAGTAGGGGGCGGAGCCACGCCTACTTTTCCAAAAAATTGCGGCCAAATATGCCCCTCCTTAATACGATCCCTTTTGCCAAATTTCACTTTAATATCTTTATTTATGGCTTAGTTATGACACTTTATAGGTTTTCGGTTTTCGCCATTTTGTGGGCGTGGCAGTGGGCCGATTTCGCCCATCTTCGAACTTAAACTTCTTATGGAGCCAAGAAATACGAGTAGCACGTTTCATCATGATATCTCAATTTTTACTCAAGTTACAGCTTGCACGGACGGACGGACAGACGGACAGACAGACATCCGGATTTCAACTCTACTCGTCACCCTGATCATTTTGGTATATATAACCCTATATCTGACTCTTGTAGTTTTAGGACTTACAAACAACCGTTATGTGAACAAAACTATAATACTCTTTTTAGCAACATTGTTGCGAGAGTATAAAAATGTTAAATTATTACATATATACCTTTTGAGCTGGTAGTTCCACTGTAGGATATCTAATCTGTTTTCAAGTTTTTTTTTAATTTGTTAAAGATGTTTTATATGAAATTTTTGATTTGCAGACATTGCATTTTGCACATATCTTATCTACTACTTCAAACATCTGCAATACTACACTTCTTTTCCTTGATACATTTCCAGCCATTATTAAAAATTATAAGAACGTTAAACTCAAAACTTCAAACCGCGATGACGAAAAATAGCATATACATACCCTGAAGAAAGCTGCTACTTTTCTTCTATTTGCTATTGTGATCGTATGTACTGCGTTGTTAAAAAGCCACAGTTTCACAAGATTATTCTGACCTGCTATCGCAATCGCAATTCACAAAATCAAACTGCTATCGAAAATCACAAGTTCGAACTGCTATCGCAAAGCACAGTTTCGAACTGCTATTTATAAAATATGATCGCATTTGCAATATGCGATTTTTCAATCACAGTGAAAAAATCACCGGTAGTGAAATAACGCTCTTCACATAGTCGGCCAGCTTGTCAAGCTCTTCATACTCATACATTTCGGCTTTTTGCTGTCTACAAATGCGTCTCGCTTCCCTCTTCAACTCTCGGTATCTATCCCATCCCTCACGTGTTGTGGTCGATCGTAACGTTGCGAGGTAGGCAGCCTGTTTTCTCTTCGCTACGACGCGACACTCCTCGTCGTATCAGCTGTAATTATGCACCTAAAGCAATGGTTTCGGTAGCAGCAAGAACTTCCTGGCCTGCCTTTAATTGGCTGTTACCATATTGCTTTCCCCCATGCACGGCCTGGAAAATGTTTAAAACAGCAACTGTCGGGGGAACGTTATAAATTTCGGATTTAATATATGATTGGTATATACTAATATATGAGGGTGTGTGTGTTTCCAATATTGGTTAATTGTTCTTAATTTCGTATTAGATAATGTAAGAATTCAGTGTTAATAAACATACATGTGAAATGTCATCCTTGACAAAAAGGGACAAATAGGCAAAATAGAATTTCCATAGCGTCTGTTGCTCACATTTCGGTGAGCGTACAGAAGTTTGAGTTAAAAGTTAACCACTGGAACGAACAGACGCTCGCAGCAAGTAAACACTAAAAATCAAGAACTAAAAGTGAAGGAATAAATACAGGGTGGCTGATAAATTTTGATACATTAAGAAACTCAAATTTTTTTTTCAGTGTATAGAATTCACTTTTCTTTTATTAAAAAAGCTCATTCAATTTTATTAAATATAGCTTAATTAGTTTTAAAAATAATGGAATTTAAATGCCCCCCTGCTCGTTGATGCATGTGCGGCATCTTACCAAGAAGTTGTTCATTACTGCTTGGAGAGTTGAGACAGGAATAGCCGCAATTGTTTCTTGAATGGATTGCCTTAGTTCATTCAAATTTGTTGGTTTTGCTTTGTAGACTTCCTGTTTGCAAATAACCCCACAAGAAAAAGTCAGGTGCAGTAAGGTCAGGCGACCTGGGTGGCCAACGGAATGTGGAGTTTCTGGATATCAGCTTATTGGGAAATTTTCGTCGCAATTCTGTCATCACATGTGAGGAGCTGCTCCATCTTGCTGAAACCAAACAGAGTTGAAAGAAATTCTCATTCGGCGTAATTCTGGATAGAAAAACTCTCTCAACATGCTCAAGTAACGGTCTCCAGTAACCGTAACGGTGTGACCGTTTTCTTCGAAGAAGTAGGCAGCGACAATGCAGCGTGGTGAAACTGCACACCACACTGTGACACGAAGTAGATGCAATTCCGTCTCATGGAGTATCTGTGGGTTGGAAGCACTCCATATTCGACAATTTTATTTGTTTATTTTGCCGTTTGAATCGAAATGGGCCTCGTCAGAAATGAAAAGACAGTTCAGCATGTTTCTATCCTCTTCAACCATTTGAAGCATCTTCTGGCAAAATTCCAAACGTATCGGCAAGTCTGCAGCGTTCAATTTGTTGGCCATTTGAATTTTATATGGGAATAAGTCCAAATCTTTGTGCATAATTGACTGTAATGWCTRTCTGCTTACACCCATTTGAGCAGATAAGCTTCTTGTCGAAACACGTGGATTGTTTTGTATGGCAGCAGCTGAAGGGTTTCGATGGTAAGGTCTTTTGTTGACTGTCCCATGCTCGGCAAAATTGTTTACAAGTCTCATTATGGTTCACCTGCTCGGAGGATTGCCGCCAAACGTGCGCCTATCCTCTCTTTGAACCGAAACTACGGACTCCAGTGCGTGATAGCGGCGGACAATCCAAATTCTAGTCTCAGTGTCCCAGTTATCCATTTTTGTTAAATGACCAGATTCATTAAATAGAAAAAAAATTATTTATCCATTTTTGTTAAATGACCAGATTCATTAAATAGAAAAAAAATTATTTAATTTTTTTTGGTAGCGGCTTTCATCAGCCACCCTGTATCATTCCCACGACAGTCGGGTCTACGAAAACCGGAACGGACCCCGATTTTTATCCGGCCAAGGACTGTCAACTCGGCAGAATKCTGYCGTTACAACAACAACAACAACAACAACCACCCTGTATATTAAAGCTGAAAACATAAATTCTTTGAATGTTGTTAATTTAAGAGGATGACGAACCCCACATGCGTGTTAGGATTTCAAATACGTTGATCCACTTTATGTTGTTGGGTTTATTCCTTCGGAGTGAGGTATTACTGATTAATTTTGTGTGGTTTCTTGTGTTGTATCTGTATTATGTGATGTTGTAACTTGAGATAATGTTTACCTCTTAATGTATTTCAACGAGTACTTTGTATAATAATGTTTCACTTATATAAAGTTGTCTTTCAGCTTCTTTAGAAAAACGTGGAAAGAGTAAATTTAGTTTCTCCTCTTTCGCTGTTAAGTAAAGTTGGGGCGATTGATATTCCCCTGCATTACGCCTCTATTATTTTATGTAATTTATAATAACAACACCATGCTGTTTACTTCACCAAATTTGATTGATTCTTGACATTGTTCTGTTTAATATATATTATAAGGGAAATACGTTTACGAACAGTTTTGATGGCTGAATTGGCTTGACCACGCCAGACACCCGAACTTAGCCCTTCCTTACTTGTTCAAACTTGCTTTGCTTGCTTGCTTGTATTGGATCAAAAAGATAATCAGTTATAATGATACGTGAACATGTTTTCATTGTAAAAGCAAATATGCTTTGATAATGCTGTGTTTACTATAAACAAAATGTAATAGCCACGTATTATAATGAAAATCATCAGTGCATCATTAGTGCAAGAAAGTAGAAACACAGATTTGGGTCAAAAAATTCTTCGAATTTTAATACTTTTCATAAGCTATATATTTTGCTTATAGGTACATGATGGTAAAAATCTCAAAGGACGGTCTAATGATGCTAAGGCATCTGCATGCTTATATATTGCCTGCCGACAAGAGGGAGTTCCACGAACTTTCAAAGAAATCTGTGCTGTTAGCAAAATAAGCAAAAAGGAAATCGGTCGTTGCTTCAAGTTGACTCTAAAAGCACTTGAAACAAGTGTAGATTTAATTACTACAGCGGATTTCATGTCCAGATTTTGTGCTAATCTTGGTAATGTTTAATTAAATAATTATTGTATTTGTAAATATAGTTTCGGTTTATTGTTATATTTATTTTAGACCTTCCAAATATGGTACAACGAGCTGCGACGTATATAGCGAAAAAAGCTGTCGAAATGGACATTGTTCCAGGAAGATCACCAATTTCAGTTGCCGCCGCAGCTATATATATGGCTTCTCAGGTTTGTATAAACATTTGGTAGAAATTTATGTATAATGTGTAAGCCTCTGACAAAGTTGTAAAAAAACTAGACTCTTGCTATATCTGCATTTTTGTAATACGTATTTCTATTGATTTAAGTACAGATACCATGCGGAAATKTTACCACCCTGTAGTGGAAAGCACTTTTTACTATCCTTTAGTTCAATCAATGCGTTTAATAGCCTTATGTTAAAGTCGTATTTATCGTGGAATCCTATTAATTGAAWCACGTACTYAAWKTTAAATTTAAATTTATAMAAGGCATAATTTGTKAAAAAATTGTTTACTGATATTAAATTATATTATATTATTGCAAAAAGCTGCTACAGAGTATAATAGATATGATAAAGATATAACGGTTTTTTGTAACACTTAAAACTAAGTAAGATAAATACAGAATATTATATATATTTACTATATATCTATATTCATCCGTTTTCTAGCAATCTACTATCTTAAGTAATAATTGAAATATATTGATGAAACTTTGCACAACTTTTTCTTGCCACCCAAGGAAGGTTGGTATTGTATATTATTGCAATCGACTTGTGGCCACGCTCACCAAATGACTTKAAACGMAAACCTATAAGTKCTATAACTAAGCTTCGAATTAAGATATAATATTGTAATTTGATACAGGCGTGTGTGCTGAAAATCTTTAAGAAGTGAGCATGACCCTGTTAGTAATAAGTTTAATATACATATTTCACAAGCTATTATAGCTATATCAACCAAAGTTCACAAGATCGTGATCGAATAAAATCGGGCGTAAGCTTGCCCTCGTCCAGATATACATACATATGTGGGGTTTACAAATATCCGGTTGACTTTACTTATCATGCATCGGTTGTTATAACAGGTGGTCAAAGTAAAGCTATTATTTTCAATAGCCTTTTAAGAGTAAAATGAAGAGATTCCAGAGCTACCGTAGACGACGAATTGGTTGCATCGTTATTGTTTTCTAGGTTGCCTAATGAGTCTCAAGCAGTCGTTATGGCTGAGGAGAAGTTTAGGCATAAAATCGCCAAGTGCTTGTGAACCAATTCTGTAAATAATGGGCGACCAAAAGTTGATTAAAGCAGACCAGCCACAGGCGAATTTGCACATTTGTTTTTGTTGGACTTTTTCCCTTGTCCCGGGTCAGTTTTTACTTTGGCGTCTATCCGTACAAATGATAACTAAAAGGACAGATTTGTCGCACATTATTTTCATATTCTTATATTATAGTTTTAAATTGTATTCACTTTCAATAGCAGTCTTCAGTAGTTGTACCCCAATTCGTAAAATCTGAAATAATTTTAAATCCGATAATTTTTTTACTTATAATACAACTGTCATTGTATGAGTTTTTTTAATTCGGAGGGGGAATCTTCGGATGATACCGTAAATTTTTTCCAAGGTAAGCACGATTCARGAGGATGGAGTCATGTGTAGAAGTTCACGCAAGTGAGGAAAGTTCTCTGATCGCCATTCACTTGGGAGTGGCCAGAAACGATTCTTTTACATGTGACTCAAGCAGCTCACGACTTCCGGTCTTTGACCAAGTATCCTCTGGGTAGAAGAGGAACATCCGTTTGAAGGCGAGCTAAAATGAGAAGGCGAAATATCCCCTACATAGGGTTGTGTGCAGAGTTTGGGACCCGCCACGGGACCCCCATTTGGACCTCCAATGAAAAGGAACAACTAGCCTCGGATGAGAGACCCTCCTTTTGATGACGACCATGGCTAAAAATAACTCGGCTATAATCACGTAAGCGGTGTCTACGCCAAATAAGAAGAAAAAGAAGCACGATTCGTATTGGTCGCTGACGCGGTGACCAATACACCTACGTACTAAACCCTTAACTTCATCGTCATTGCTTGTTATTTGTCACACGGAACTGCCGTTAAGCATTACTTCGTGAGGCCAAGCTTAGCCATTCGGCTCGTCAGTCACGCCATTCTGGCCTACTTCTCAATTCGCTGGGTTGTTACTTTTTTTAGAGCTCTTTAAGAACTATAGCAGACCACATTCTCACGCTATCCCACACTTTTTTTCGATTAAGTCAACCATGCTTTTACACTTTTAATTAGCCTGCGAGTCCATATAACCGTTGTAGCTGCATCCCATCGTTGTTGCCATTTATTGTGGCTTGCTGGTTTCTCATCCTTCCGCTCCTCCACCGTTAATCGCCTACCCAGTCTTGTGGATCTGTTGTATACTCTTTGCCATTATCTCTGGTCGCATTATACCCGCCATACTTCGTGTGCTCGCGACTGTAATGGCACTGAGTTGCATTGCAAACTTCGCTCTCTTAGCATACGTTTCTTGCTGGTCTCCATATGACCGCCACGTGCATCAAAATTAATTGACTCACCTTGGGCAATTGCGCTCGCCTATTTTGGTTTGGTCCACCTAAGTTGGCCATTATTTTTACTACAGCGGCCGCTATACGTGTTGCTTTTTCACATACCTATGTGCGCCTTGTTGCTAAGTATATCATCTATAAGTACTCCTAGGTACTTCAACATCTTCTGGGTCATGATACTATGACCGAGGATATTTAATTTGATGTCTTCAATCTTTCTCTTTCTTGTAATTGTTCATTTGTTTGCCCAGGTTGAAGGTTTGTTGCCGTGAGTCATTCTTTGATCGTTAACGTTGCATGATTGCAGAGATTCGCAAGTTGACCAAGTTCGTTTGTTACTACAGTAATGTCAATATCATCCGCGTATCCGATAATCTGTACCTGCTTCGGGCGTGGTACACGCAGCACCCCGTGGATCAATACGTTTCACAGCAATGGCCCAAGCGCAGAACCTTGTGGAACTCCGCCCGTTACCACATATTATTTTATCCGTATCATTCAGTAACAGCCGGTCGTGCAGGTAGCTGTATATAATCTTAACCAAGTAAGCCGGGCTTCCGTTACCTTCTAGTACATTTATGATGTGAGGCCAGTATGCAGCAGAGTTAAACGCGTTTTTTAACGTCAAACGTGACTACTGCGCAGTGTTCCTTTGTAAAGAGTTTTTCAATAGCTACGCTACAAAAGTAGACCAATAGGGACAGCAAACTACGACATATTTTTTTCCACTCTTTCGACATTTCTCTTCAGTAAAGTGTGCTATTTCACCATTGAAAGATATACGATCCAACAACGAATCGAAATTCCCGAAATTTATATATCCCCAACAAATTTCAGTTTGGTGCGATTTATGGAAAGCCGGCGCCATTGGGCCGCACTTCTTCCGTGATGATGAAGACCGGCACATTACTGTGAATGGGAATCGCTACCACTCAGTGATAAGCGAATATTTTTGGCCTGAATTGGAAGATATGTGGTTCGAACAGGACGGCGCCACAAGTCACAAAGCAAATGCCACAATCGATTTATTGGAAACTAAGCTTGGTGAACGTGTTATCTCATGAAATGGTCCAGTCAATTGGCTGCCACGGCCGTGCGTTTGACGCCGTTGCACAATTCCTTGTGAGGCTACATCAAGTCAATGTTTATGTCAACAAGCCAGCGACGATTGATGAACTTTGTAATCATATCGAACGTGAAATTGCAGCACTATCGGCCGAGTTATGCAAGAAATACGTTGAAAATTGAGTTCAAAGTCGGGACTTCTGCAATTGTGCCCGTGGTCACCATGGAATAATTTCCCTAGTAGCGGTTTGTCCAGAAACATTTTTCCACATGCCCATATGGTAGCTTAGTTCGTGTTGTCAAATATCAATGCCGCGTCGCTTGTATTTTCACGGTCTGCATAAGAAGCTCCTGTGTAGCCTCACAGTGGTTGAGTTGCATGTCTCTCATTTTTTGGTGTTCTTACATGTCTCTTGATAGCGGGGACACTTTTAACTATCTATTTGGTGAACGGTATTTTTCCAGCGATTTTTCTTACATGCACTACGTATGTCCGTATTCAAGACATCTGAAATACCTGAGATTTTGCTGCACCTTTATTCTGCACACTTGGATCTTAAGTGTATCAAGAAGTATCCTCGTTCCATCGCTGGTAGGCATACCACAGCAGTTTGGGTTACTAAGTATTTTTTTCTGTTCTCTCTTTATGAGATATTGAACTAATTTACTTGCAGACGTATTTCTACCATGACCTATTGATTTAGAGCTTTTATCTGCGCATTTTCCCCCCAACACTTTACCTATTTCGGTCTTTAAGAGCCCCGTGTCCTTCATCTTGGCCCCCTTCAGAATTTGACCATTTTTTTATTTTTCCCTAGTTTCTGCAAAGTATCATTCTTCCTGACAGCTTGACCGTTATCCAACCCATCTTGTTTTCCCATTTCTATCTCATTGCCTTTAACTGGGTTATCGCACTTTGCTCAGGGAAACTTCCGTTTTGTTGGGCCATTCCTTATGGCTAATTTTATTCTTCTCCGACGGTGTTCTTTGCCTTAGCTGTACTTTGTCTCGAGTCTTCTTGGGTGTATTCTTTGTAGTAGTTGTCATGACGAGAAACTACGTCGTGCTTATTTACTTGCAATGTGCTCCTCCTGAACGGCAGAATGTATTGCTTACAGATGGAAGATACTTTAAGACAACATTTATTACAGGCACAGTTAAATGATGATTTTATGAAAGCGGTTAAGGCTATATTAGAAAAGGGTCCTTATGAAAATTTCTACGGGAATTTTATGCAAAGATCCCTCGAAAGAGCTAATCGTTGTTTCCTGTTCAATGCAAGATGACATAACACGGGCAGTGCGAAGACAAAATCACTTTGCTGCACGTAAAACACAAGAGCTAGTAGAGAAATCTGATTATATATCAAAACTATGCCAGAAGGTTGTTCGAACAGTTGTGTAGAGTGCATTGTAGCAAACGCCAAAATGGGCAAGAAAGAAGGGTTTCTTATTCCAATTCCTAAAGATGAGCAATCATTAATCACCCATCACTTAGCCATTTAGAACCTTTGACGGTTATCGCAACACAATATAACTACATTTTATCAGTTGTAGACGCATTCTCA